CAGCAATTTTTTTATTTTGTAAATATATCTTAGATCAAATTTTAGACTTCTACCAGAACTTCCAGGGTCATGGGGTTATGTATAGTGATGCACACTTTCGTCTCCTCATCGGGCATATTCAGCTTCAAGTTTCCTTAAGCCCTTCATATCCTTACATATCATTTGCTACTGACCAGCTATGGTATTTACATCTCCTAGGAGAAATTGACTTTTAATTATTTTCTAGTTCTCATTCTGTGTGTCATGGCCTTCCCTCCAAAATGTCAGTTTTAGTAACCCAATGGCTTACCAGAACAAAGAGCTAATGTATAGTAGTTATATAGGGTAAGTACTTTATGTTAACGGTGTAGAATCAACATGCTTAAGAATGAATTATGACTTTCAAAGCTATATATTCCTAGGAGGAGGAATATGTATACCTAATATTGTATCTGTTTTATGCTCTTTTGAAGGAAACATCCTTCTGTATCAGAACTCCCCATGTTTCCATATCCAGATTTTTTCACCAAGAGTGATGAAGAATTGACAAGAATCATTGACCGTCATGTAAGATTGACTTTCTTAAATTACTAGCGAAAGCTTTGTTTTTAAAAGTATTTTGAATTAGAATATGTAGTTCTGAGACTTTAATATTGACAAATGGAACTTAAAAGTAGAGCCATGATTTGGCATTGCTAAACTTAACTGTATCTCACCGGACTGTCTATACATATCAGTGCTTTCATTGGGTTACAGAAAATTTGGCATCTGTTATTTTGAAATACTAGTTTTATTCTGTTTCTTGAATTAGTACTGATTTTTTTTACAACAATCTGATATTGAAACTGAACACTGTTTTCTTCTATGGTGTAGTTTTAATAATGGAACAAAAATCTTTTGACTCAAAAAAATCTTTGGATTCAATTTTCAGTGACCATTCTTTACCCTTGAAATATTAGAAAGACTTTAATCATTTTGTTCCTGGTATGAGTTTAAAAAGCTGTGGAAATACAAGACTATTCACTTAAGACACTTTAAGCCACTGAGCTATATTTAGGGGATGATTTCTTGCCAAATCATTTTATGACCATTTCTTTTCAGGAGCAGAGCTGGAATAGGGGAGAAAGTACTCATTTTTTTTTCCCTTTGAGTACAATCTGGATTCAATAAGATATAGGATGTGTTTAAGTTAATTTTATATCCAGTAGTTTAATATTATCTGTCAGATTTTATTTATATTCCCATGATTATTCTTTATATTTTTATTTTATTTAATTTATTGGGTAATTAATAAAATTACATAGGTTTCAAGTGCACAATTCTATAGCACATTATCTTTACATTGTATTGTGTGTTCACCACCCCAAGTCAAGTCTCCTTCCATCACTCCCACTTTCCCCTTTCACTCTAACATTTACCATACTATTGTTTGTGTTCATTAGTCTTTTTTCTCCTGTGCTTAAGCCCATCACTGTTCTCACACAGTCCTTAACCCCTACCCCTTTGACAACCATCAGTCTGTTCTCTGTGTCCATGAGCCTGTTTCTACTGTTATTTTTTATTAGGTTACACATATAAGTGAAGTCATATGATACTTGTCTTTCTCTGACTCACTTATTTCTCATAGCATAGCACTCTCAAGGTCCTTTTATGTTGTCACAGAAGGTAAGATTTCCTTCTTTTTTATGACTGACTAGTATTCCATTGTGTAAATGTATCACAGATTTTTATCCACACATCTACTGATGGGCAATTGGGCTGCTTCCAAATCTTGGCTATTGTAAATGATGTTGCAGTGAACTTAGGGGTGCATAGATTCTTTTGAATTAGTGTTTTGGGTTTCTTCAGTGGAATCAGTGGATCTAAAGGCAGTTTTATTTTCAAATTTTTGAGCTTCCCACATGCTACACCAATCTGCATTCCCACCAACAGTGCAACAGTGCACCAACAGTGCACCTTTTCTCCATGCCCTTGCCAACATTCATTTGTTGATTATTTATGATAGCCATTCTGACACGAGTGAGGTGATATCAGATTGTGGTTTTAATTTTCATTTCTCTGATGATTAGTGATGTTGACAATCTTTTCATATGTTTATTGGCCATTTGTATGTCCTCTTCAGAGATGTGTCTATTCAGGTTTGCCCACTTTTTAATTGGATCATTTGTTGTTTTGGAGTTCAGTTTCATAAGTTCTTTATCATTTTGTATATTAACCCCCTATTAGATGTATCATTGACAAGAACATTCTCCCATTCACTGGGTTGTCTTAGCATCTTGTTGATGGTTTCCTTTGCTGTGCAAAAACTTTTTAGTTTAATGTAATACCATTTGTTTATTTTTCTTCTGTTCCCTTATCCAAGGAGATACATCAGAAAAAAACATAGCTATAAGAAATTTCTGAGATTTTACTGCTTATGTTTTCTTCTAGGATTTTTATGATTTTGAGTCTAACATTTAGGTATTTATTTTATCATAAGTTTATTCTTGTATATGGTGTTAAGAAAGTGGTCTAGTTTTGCTTCTTTGCACTATCTGTTCAGTTTTCCAACACCATTTATTGAATAGGTTATCTTTACTCCATGGTATGTTTTTGCTTCCTTTCTCAAATATTAATTGACCATAAAAGTTTCGATTTAGTTCTGGGCTCTCTATTCTGTTTCATTCATCTATATGTCTGTTTTTATGCCCATACCATGCTGTTTTAATTACTCTTATAGTATAGTTTGATATCAGGTAGTAAGATTCCTCCAACTTTGTTCTCCTTTCTCAAGATTACTATTGCTCTTTGGGTTTTTTTGTGGTTCCATATTAATGCTTGGAATATTTGTTCTATTTCTGTGAATACACCATTGGTATCTTGATAGGAATTGCATTGAATCTAAGATTGCTTTGGTAGTGTGGACATTTTAATGATGTCGATTCTTCCTACCCATGAACATGATATATGTTTCCACTTACTTGTATCTTCTTCAGCCTGTTTCTTCATTGCCTTATAATTTTATGAGTATAGGATGTCCTTGTTTAAATTTATTCCTAAGTATTTTTATACAATTATAAATGGGACTGTTTTATTTCTTTCCTTTTCTGATAGTTTATTATTGGTGTATAAAAATGCCACTAATATCTGGATATTTATTTTGTATTCTACTTTACTGAATTCATTCATCAATTTTAGTATTTTTAAAATTTGATATTGTTATTCTATTACAGTTGTCCCATTTTTCCTCCTTTGCCCTCCTCTACCCAGCCCTCCCACCTGCTGCCACAGTCAATCCCCACACTGCTGTCCGTGTCTGTGGGTCATTATACATGTTTTTTGACTAGTCCCTTCTCCTTCTTTCAACCATTATCTCCCTCCCCTCTCCCTTCTGGTCACTGTCAATCTGTGCCATGTTTACATGCCTCTGGTTCTATTTTGCTTGTTAGTTTGTTTTTGTTCATTAGGTTCCTCTTATAGGTGAGATTATAGACCACTTGTCTTTTACCCACTGGCTTATTTCACTTAGCATAATGCTCTCCAATTCCATCCATGGTATCAAAAAGGTAGGAGTTTCTTCTTTCTTTTTGCTGTGTAGTGTTCCAAAATCTTTGGGGTTCTCTCATGATCATTTTTTTATCCATGTAATTAGTGATCTTTTGAGAAATAATAAAATATTATTTCATTTATTGATCCCATTGAATTGTAATTTATTGTATAGCTAATATTTAAGCCACTCTAGCAATAGTTACAAGTATTAGGATCTGGAGGCTGAATGACATATGGAAACAAAAAATAGGAGTTGTAATATGGTATTTTAATTCAGTAATGGTTTTGCTAAACCAATATACCACATTAACAGAGTATTACAAGAATTCTTGATGGTTCATAAATTACAGCATCCATATTTTATTACCCTTCGCTTAACAAAATTTTCTAGGACAGGTTATAAGAGCTAGCCAATTATCAACAAGTATGTACATATATAGTTTAGAGTTAATAATACAACAAAAATATTTTGATTCAGTTTTTGGTGACTATTCTGTACCCTTAACAGATTAGAAAGTCTTTAATCACTTTGTGATTAAACTCATTTGCCTAAGGTGAGTTGAAGAGACAGAGGACATTATTTTGAATGATAGAGAAGAGGTTAGGAAGAGAAGGCTAGGAAATAAATCTCCAAAACTATCATCTTTTCTACCTCCCAAAGGTATAAGGATTATGTAATTAATCACCACCATGAATCTGTTTAGAGTATAGCTATAGAAGGGTAAAGGAATCTTTTATGAAAATAAGTTTGATAATTGATAGGATCCCAATTGTATGATATGTGGCTAGTGTAATCAAAGAGTAGTTCATGGTATTGATTTGGGAAAGTTTGTGGAAGTTTCTTTGAATATCACATTTAACAAAGTATTCATGTATCTGCCATTTCCTTTCAGATAGTTATAGCAGTAATCTTTTGTACATAATATTTTACACTCTATAAAATGTTCTTATATTAGTTACTTTAATCATCACAACAACTCCATAAAATATTTACCAATAAGAATGGTGGTTTACATTTCAGTTATTTTCCCAAGGTTTTAAAGTTAGTAAATGACTGTGTGCAAATCTTTGGACTCCAAATCTACTTTTTTAAATTTTCCGTCATTGCTCAGTTTCCTGATTTATAAGCCCCATCCTGAACAGAAATGGATATGAGGAGGTTAAATCTGTAGGATTGACAAGAAACAAAAACACAGTTACAGGTTTAATTGTCCCACTAAGGCAACTGAATTTTACTGAGTGGTCATAATAAGCAAAGAATAAGGCAGACACCTAATTGTTTAGCAGACATTAAGATACTGCTGCCATCCCATAGCATGATGATTGAGTCCCTGAGTAAATGGGTTGAATAAAGCAGTAAAAATGGTGCTTCTATTTTTTCATCAATTTTAAGCAAATCTGCATCCTCCTTACTGTCATGTCAGTGATAATACTGGAAGATAAAAGTAAAGACAAGACAACCGTTTATCCAAGTAGAATTTATTAAGGTCAACAGAGACAAAGATATGAAAGAAAAGTGTACATTTTTTTCTGGGCTAACAAAATGTAAGATTATAATATTATGGTGAATTCCAGCATTGCCAAGTCTAACAAGAGGGGAGAGGAGGAGGAGCAGCCTCCTAGACATTAGTGATATGCCACATTCCTGTCTTTACACATGCTGTTTGGGAAACCCAAGCATTCTATTTCATTGAGAGTTCTTCAGAATTGATCTGTTGATTTTTCATAATGTAGAGATCAAAGTCATGAGGTACATTGAAATCTCTCATGTAAGTAGATTAGTTACCTTTGTTTATAGATACTGTCTTATTTCACCAACTACTACTTTATTCTATAACATAGAAATGGTAGTTTTGTGAAACAATTTTATGACTTAGTTTATTATGAGAAATAATTATGTCACAGATATCATAGAATTTGTAGGAAAAAAACCCAAGCATGAATTTGAGCCTGTGCCTGAATGTTCATGATGTTTTCCCTCAATTTTCTGGATATTTCATGCAAAAATGGTTTCTAGGAAATGAAAGTAGATGACTAATAACTATATATAGGAATAGTCTCAAGATAAGTGCAAGTAATATTTTTATTTCTTATGCCTTAAAATTTTAATTGGAATTTAAAAAGTAGATATGATTTTATTATGCTTTTTAAAAATATTTACTCGAAGTATGTTGATTTTTTAAAATTTTATTGCTTTCTGAAGGCTAAGTGATGTTACAGATTTTGAGGTTTGATCTTGCTTATTTATATCTATATACCCCAGATGACATCTAATAGTTATAATTCACAGTACCGATATATAGTAATTTATAAGTTAATTGATAAAATTGCGTATTTATTCTTGCATGTTTAAACTTCAGTCGCCTTCTAAGTACTCTTCATTTGATGCAATACACTTAGGGAGCCATTTTTTTCTACTGCTCAAAACAGTTTTTGAACTTGTTGGTTTTGATGCTTTTTTGTGCTTCTGCTGTTTTTTGTTTCACTTCTGCCACATCAGCAAAATATCTCCCTTTGATGACTTTATTCATCTGGGAAAACAAAAAAAAAAATCGCTTGGGGTGAGATCAGATGAATAGGGAGGGTGGGTCACAGTGGGTAGAGGTCATGCCATTTGGGGACAATTGCTGAACATTCAGCATGGTGTGGACAGGTGTGCTTGTAAATGGCCCATCATGAAATGGGCAAACACACTGAAAGGGTCTTAAAAAAATTCACTGAAGCTGAACGCAGCCTCTCACAACAACTCCAACTAGTACACTGATATAGATAGGTTCCTAGACCACTCACCTAGCAGGAGAAACCTTCACTACAAGAGGCCTGCCCTCCAGAAGATAATTCCATTTTGGGGGGGGGGGGGTATCCTCCCTCATATGCATGAGTGAAAGATGAAACAAGCAATGTAGATAGCATTGTTAGGAATTTCCACATTTCATGCTAGGAGTCATTCTGCCTTGAACTTTTCACCCAGGCTAAAGAGTGTTTACCACCTCTTTTTACCTTTTCCTTTATGAAAGATACTAGAAGGGAAAAAAGTTCCTCCAGATGATGCATGGTTGAAGGAACATTGCTACTTCTAACTTCTTGTTCCTCAGGCCCTTGCCTCCAGATGTGCTGTTACTGCCACGACTTAACATGCTCAATTACAATGAATCTCTTAGATATTTTTAGGGGGCTGCTGAAAAATCAGCATTTATCATCTGGGTAATTTCATTTTTGACCTCAAATGTGCCGGTAATAATATCACAATTTCTGCCTTTCACTTTCATTTGTTTTTTTGTTTGTTTGTTTGGCTTTGGCTTGATTTTTATTTCATAATTCCATGATCTCATGTAAATAGCAATTTGATGAAGAAAGGAAATTCACTTGCTATACAGAAATATAAACTTTATTATCTCTTCTTTTGAATGATTTATGATTATTTAAAGTGTTAAGAGGGAATTCTGTTTTTTTTGGGTTTTTTTGGGTTTTTTTGTGGGAAGGTACACCTTCTGATAAATAAGTTATATATTTTCCAGTATGACAGAATATAAATTCCTGAAAAACATCTTTGAGAAAAACTAAGATGATAATTGAATATGAGTATTTGCATTTAAGAAGTTAAATTGTTTTTTTCCATACAAAATCATACATAAATGACACCTTTTCTCTGTAACAGTGGCAGAAAGAGCTAAAGATCCGAGAGGAAGAAGATGCAATATGTAAGGCCAAAGAAAGGGAAGATAAAGAGTTAGAGGAAAAAAATCACTTCATGGAAATTATGAAGAGGAGAGAAGAGAAACTACACAAGAAAACCAAACCCTATGAGCTTCCTACAAGGACTGAAGTAATTGCATTAGAAAAGAAAATGACCCAAAATTGAGAGCCATATGCCAGAAATTCATTGCATGAAAAAGACCAAGATAGCTACATGTTAGGAAAAATGTCCTCTAATTAACAGAAAGTCATCTCTTTGAAAGGAATTGTTATCCTGGTAGAGCCTCTGTTATAGTCATATCTTAGTCCTCAACATTTAGCTCTTACTCATATTTGAATGAAGTGATTTTACCAATTAAAGATTTTTAAGGATACAGCTAGGCTTTTCATAATTTACTCTTATCTTGTGGTCATACAGCACACTTAGTCAACGATTCCTAAGGTATTGATATTCATTGGACAGTTCAGTGGAAATGAATTAGAAATTTTTATTGAGTCACATATAAGATTTCTGGAAAACAGAATGAGCATTAACTGATACTCTCATAATAATTATTATACAAATAAAAGAAGTAAGGAACCTGCTTGGATTTATATTTCATAGCCAATCTGTGCCAAATCAAACCATATGTCAGAAGCTGTAATTTGATAAGTTACTGTTTATAAACAAATAAACAATATGGGCCGGTCATCTCAAAATGAGTTGGTCTTCAGCATATACCACAGGAGACTCTTAAGAGAGTGGTTTTGCTTTGTCAAGTTTATGAGAATGGATTTGGATGGCCCTAGAAGGTACAGATGCACTTACAAATAATCTAATCAGGATTCATCTTTAAAATGTCAGTTCACTTCATTTGATGCTCTCAACCTAGGGGTCAGAGTAGTAGGGTGAGGCTCCTGTGATGTCTTACAGTCTTCTTCCAAAAAGCACATTTAATAACCACACCTCAATTTTGCATAGGTGATTTGGTGAAACTCAAGAGACAGGTACTTTATTGGAGATGGCAAACTCAGATAACTACCAGGTCAGGAAGGTAACATAAATTAGCGATGGAGACTTTGGAAAACCCACTCTATCGAAAGAAAGTTCCCATCACTTGGCTGAATGCTGCAGTGCAGGTCCATTATTGTGGGATCATTCAGTCTTCCAAGAACACCTCAAATGAGGTTATCTTTAAAATAAAAGTTGCTAAATTTCAAAATGTTGGCAACCAGCTATTAAAAAACTCACATAATTTGGGGTTAAATTTGAAACATGAACCACAAGTTTTGAGTTGTATTATGTGAATTCAAACTATCATTTTTTTAAAATTTAAGATAACAGCAATATATGGTAGAAATGGGGGGGTGTCCCTATTTTGCTTCCCAAAAGAGGAGATTCAGATTTATATTGTTCCTCTCCAATCACTTGTTTCATTCTCATTCTTGTCTCCACAATATGTAAGTTCTCAGACATAATGTCTTCTAATGCACCTGTCCAAATACCTTCATCATTTTTTGCTTTCTTTGCATGTAAAAAGAAATCTCTTCTACAGAAGATCAGCAGTTCCTTTTCTGTGAATTTTATCCCTTCCAAAATCTTGCTCCAGTAACTGATCACTGTTGCCCCTGGCATCACTCACTTCTCACCATATAGGTCTTGATTTTCTACCATCCTTTCATCTAAAGTACTCTCTCCTTAAGGCCCACAGTGAGATGTCTTACCAAACTCTGACTTATTTTTTAAGAAAAAATCCTTCTATTTGGTTGTAAGAAATGGAACCACTGGACTATAAGTCATGAGAAAGGGTTCTGGAGACTGAAGAACTTCAACAAATCCTGCTGTTTCAGAACCATCTTTCAGAAACCTGTTACGTCCGATCTTGAAACCTCTCTGATGTTCTGAGGGACGGACTAGTCTGCTTCAAGGCCTCCCCACAGCAGACTGAGGTTATGTTTTTTCCCTGTTCTGCTTAATCTCTTCTCACTTACTCACCTGCTTTCTAACTTCCATAATTTTCTCAGTATTTTCAGTGTGCTGTCATTGTCTTTCCTTCTTATGAATTTATGCCATTTTTAATAATCTTTTGATATCATAGTAGTGGAGATTTGGAAGGAAGCTAACAAAGAGAATATACATATAAATAGGCATATATAAAAATGTATATATTAAAAATATATGTATATAAAGGTATAAGAATTCTAATTAATCAATTCTATAGACACATAATAGATAACTTTATTCCTAAATTATTCTCTAAAATTATTTATTAAGTAGTTATTTAAAATTCTTAAAATTTGGCAACACACATCTCGTTGTTTTCCTCCTATGTCTTGGAATGTTTAGCAACAACTAGGGCTTAGAGATCTGTGTTCACATTCTGCTTTTGCCTCCTGCTAGCTTGAAACATTGGGCAAGTTACTGAATCCATCTGAGCTTCAGCTTACTTCCTTATAAAATGGGTACAATATATGTAAATAGTGATGTCAGTCAGAAGCTAATCAGGAAAATGGAAATATGACAGTCATTTAAACAAAGAATTCAGTGTAAGGAATTGTTTTAAAAGGAATTAGGGAACTGAGGAGATGAAAAGGAAACAAAGAACTAACATGGAAAACCCTCAGTGCAGGAAACTGCTATCACCTCTAGGCGCAGGGGTGGGAGAGGAAAGGGTTGGATTACTTTAGAATCTGGAAGCATGCAAGGGCCACCACACACAGGGGGACTCAGCCCTCTGCATGGGAGGCATTGCCCAGCTGAGTCCTTTGAGGCACAAAAAAAGCTGCTTTGGGATCCCAGAAAAAAAGGAACTGGAACAAATTGGTTATTGCAGAAACTGTGCTGCCAGGAAGAGCAAGAAACAGGAAGAAGCAAGTTCCCGCTCCCAGTCCTGGAATGCTTCCAGCAGTGCTCCTGTCCCTGCACCACAAAGCAGAACAAGGAAGGGTGGCTTTGGTGCTGAAAGACCCTGGTTAAATAACTGCGGAAAATGTGAGGCTCAATGCCTAGGACATATTAGGCCATGCAATAAAATTTAATTTGCCTGTTGTTTCTCTGCATTTTAGGCCCTCCTTTCTGCTTTTTATACAGGCTTTCCTGGGCAGGGGGCAGGGGGCAGGGGGGGTTGGAAAAATCATCACTTTTTAAGTTAATGTAAAAATGTAAATGGCTTAAAAAGAAACTTTTACTAAAATGTCTTTATAACAGAGGTTAACCTTTAATTCTTCCAATAAGTGCTTAACACAAATTCAACTGAAACTCTTTGCTCTTTGTAGTGTACTTTTAGTATAACTTTGCCTCATATTCACAAAGGTGTCTATGAGCCTCAGGCTAGGGTGGGTACCAGATAGAGTCTTTAAACTGCTTTCCTGTTGCTCAGCTTCTGGTTTCTCAGCCTTAGCTATTTATTTTCCCAGACCTCCCACTTGAACTTGGTTAGAGGGAAGAGGAGGAGGAGATGGAGAAAGATACCGCATGTCTATTCATCCTCTGCAGCTATCTCAGGCCTGAATTCCTCTCTATCTGGAACTTGTTTCTAGGCCACTTTACACTCCCTTTACTTTCATTTTAAAGAACAAACCTAGGTCTTCCTACATTCATTCATCATAAATTCTCTATAGATTTATTTTAGCATCCACCAAAGCAAAATCTTTTTTTTTTGTACAAACTATATCACAGACCTTTTACCTTTTTTGAGAAGAAAGTATTTGTAAGAATTTTAACTAGTTTCACTAGGTATTGGAAGTTAAAAGACATACTAGGTGACAAAAGGGAGAAAAGATACATTGTACATTCTGAGTAACTGAAATATGAAAGTAAGCATTTTTTTTCTAGCACAATTTTAAGAAGAGAGAT